CAAGTTTTTTGCGTTTTTTAATAAATATCTTTTTATTTTGATTAAATTTTTTATATTTTTTCATTTTTTAATTAAATATTTTTATTTTTTAAATATTTAAAAAAATTTTTTAATTTTAATTTTTTGTTTTCTTATTTATGTATTTATTTTTTTATAATATATATAGTATATATAGTATAGTATATGTAAAATATGATAAAAGATAGTATATAATATAGTTAATTATATATACGACAGCTTTATGTACAAGAGTTTTATAGAAGAGTTTTATAGAAATAGTGTACAACTTTTTTCATAGTTCTTTAGTCCCACTTGGTGCCATTTCCTGATATCATATTTTTTTGTAGAAAGTATAAATAATAGCTTTTTTGAAAATTTTAATATATACAAGTTTTTTTTTAAGTTTAATATATATAACAGGTTTTTTTGAAAGGTTTAATATATACGACAATTTTTTTGAAAGATATATTATTTTACGAATAGGTAAGGAGACCAAAGCAACAAGGTTGTACCGTATGAACTGGTGCAAAATGCATCCGAATTACTATGTTTTTCATAATGATATAGCTGTTTGTAAGATTATGGGTATCATAGACTATAGTGCCGAAGTTGGTCCGGTCTGTTTACCATTTCAACATAAACAAAACTCGTTTGATGGTTCTGTTGTAACTGCATTAGGTTAGTATATGTTTATATATTATATTTCTTCATTATTTTCATCATTAATATTGTTAATTATATTGCTGCAATTATTTGATTATAGTTTATTTAATCATTAGGTTGGGGTTTATTAGAATTTGGCGGAGTGAAATCAAATACGTTGCAAAAAGTGAATTTAGATATAATATCTCTTATAAAATGCAAAAATTATTATCCTAATGTAATAGATAATAATATATGTACTTACACTCCGGAAAAGGATTCTTGTCAAGTAAGAAAACAGTATTATTTTATTATTGTATCAATAAATGTGTATATTTTTTATTATCTGATATTTAAATAAATTTTATAATATTATTTAAAAACCGTACATAAAATATTCTATAGTTATAGCATTTTCTTCTTTTTGGAACCACAGATGGACAGTGGCGGACCTATTTTATGGTCAAACCCTATCACACATAATCTTGTACTAGTCGGTATTATATCCTCCGGTATTGGTTGTGCTTCAAAAGAACCTGCTATCCATACACGTACAGGAGCATTTATTAATTGGATAATGTCCGTAACACCTGGTAAGAATCAACAAAAAGGCAAATTAAGAATTAAAGAAACATTTTATTACTGAAATTTTATTAGCAAAACATAATATATTAATTATTGTTTTTATATGTTATAGATGTTCAATACTGCAAAGTAGAGTAAACTCTGTATAATCGAAACAAATTGCTTTACAATGGTTTATATAAATTGATGCTGGAAGGACACTCAAATTGATAATTTGAGTTGTAACACTTTCGTAAAACATTTTTTAAAATACATTTACAAATTATATATATATATATAATAAATGCACTTTTTCTTATATCTTATTAATGGAAATATCTTAATTATGTAAATTGTTAAAATATTCATTGATTAATATATTACGTGCTAGTAAACCTGCATTACTTGCTTTATTTTGAAAATAATTTTGATTTACATGATAATCAGCGATAATATTTTGTAAGAAAAGCCGATCTTCATCATCAACAGGAGGAATATCTTCTCCTCGACTTCGTGCAATATTATGTAATACTGCTGTTGCTACTATTATTGTCATTACTGTTCTGATTTTTAAACGACTTTCATAGGCTAATATTGGAAATCTACGTTTCCAGATACCAAATGTGTGTTCTACTATAGTTCTTGTTCTAAAATGTGATTTGTTATATATATGTTGAGCACGGCTTTGAGGATTTAATAATGGTGTGAATAAATAAGGTTTTGCAGGATATCCACTATCACCTAAAACAGAAAGTTTAACTATAATGGAATCGAGAAGATAATTATTTAAATTGAAACAGTTATAATTGTTATAACATAGAATGAAATATACATTATTTTATAGTTGATATATTTCTCTTTACATACCTAATAATAAGCAATTGTGGAAATGATGTGTTTCAAACAACATTCTTAAATTACTGTTCTGAAATATTGTTGAATCATGAACTGAGCCAGGCCATCGGGCTACAATGTCAATTATTTTTTTGTCTGCACTTGCTACAACTTGTACATTTAAAGAAAAATATGATTTTCTATTTCTAAATACTTCTGCATCATCACCACCTATTTGTAATTTTGTACATTATATATACATCATATATACATTAATATTTAAAAATGTGTCAAAAAATTCTATATTGATAAAACGTACTGAATATCCTAACATACCTGGAGATTGTATTCTTATGTGTGTATAATCAATAGCACCAATTACTCTTGGAAATGCAGCAATTTAAAAAAAAATGTTTGAGCTTGTAAGATTTCTTCTTGTGTTTGCGGTAATTTTATGTAAATGTGTGCCTAGGAAGCTAGAGCTTCAGATACTTTAACGATTATTCTTAAAACTGTAGATTTATCCATTCCACCATAATCACCCATTGTTATCATAACTCCATTAGTTGCGTAGAAACGTAAAGTAATAAGCAATTGTTGCATTGCTGTTACTGAATTATTTCTAAAAGATTGCAAAATTATTTATTTCTTACTATGATCATAACATAGTGTGACATATTTGTAAGGATTACATATTGTAACTTATAATACAATTATAATATGTGCATGGAATATAAAAACATTAAAAAATAATATATTTCGGATTAATAAGAATATGATACTTACCTGTTATGTGTATATTGTAGATGATCTTTAATCTGTTCAAATATATTTAAAACAGATTGTTTCTGTTGTAAATCGATCTTGGTATAATCAGTTCGCTTTTATGTTGTATCGATTTTATCTATGCTGTAACAAAAACAGGTCGCCCCCCTTTTTTCTTCTTTCTTCTAAGCAGAGCTAGAAGCAACGTGCGCGCAGCATAATACTTGTACTCGTTCTCATACAATTAAAAAGTATTCTCAAATTAACGTATTACTTCTTTTAATCTCCTCATTCGACTACACTGACTTGTTAACAACAACAGGTTATGGGCCCAGAGCTCGCATTGTCGAACGATTAAGCGAGAAATAATCAAAGCAAAAAGCGAGGGTTAAAGCGCTCGGCGGATTCACTACATTCGCGCGAGAATATTCACTATGAATTCTACATTCAGAATCGAACTGCTTGGAAAGGACAATTACGATAGTTCGAAAATTCAAGCGAAAGCTTTGCTCATAGAAAGCGATTTATGGGAATACGTGAACGGTACGGTAACGCGACCAAACGAGAATGCCGCGACGTGGGATAAGGCGGATCAAAAGGCCATATCAAAGTTGATTTTGGCGATAAGTCCATCAGAGGTAAGACAAGTTAAAACATGTACTACTTCGCGCGAATTATGGCAAAAATTAGAAGGAACTTATCAGTCTAAAGGTCCTGCTAAGAAAGCTCACTTATTCAAGAAGTTGACGCTGTTAAAAATGCGCAAAACGGACAATATCCGTGATCATATCAGTACATTCGTCGAAACTGTCGAAAAACTTCAAGAAATGGACGTAACATTTGATCCGGAACAGTTAAGTATCATGCTTCTGTATAGCTTGCCCGACAAGTTCGAAGTTTTCAGGTGTGCGATAGAAACTCGCGACAAGCTGCCTGATCTCGACACTCTTAAAATCAAGATTTTAGAAGAAAGCGAAGCACACGAGGAGATAATCGGGCATTCGAAAAATGCAATGATCGCCAGCGGAAAATATCGAAGAAACTCAAAAAACACTTCAAGGAAGCCAAATTCAAAAAATGAGAAAACAGGTAACACAAAAACGAATTTTAAATTTAAATGTTTTTGTCATAGGACCGGCCATAAAGCGGTGGACTGCAAGAAAAAATCTCCAGAGAAAGCTAAGAAGGTCGAGGAAAAGGAAGAAGTCAGCCTTCTCGTTACTGAGAGATTGGACGGATCGAATTCAGCATTTCAAGTCGAGGAAATTGAACGCACGGCTAAGTGGTGCCTTGATAGCGGTTGCACGTCGCACATGTGCAATGATCAACGCAAATTCCAAGATTTAAAAGAAACGGGACACCGATCAGTAAACTTAGCAAGCCACGTATCGACAAAAGTCGAGAGAGAAGGTACTGTAAAATTAATTACGTCAAATGGAATCAACGACAAGGTGGTAAGTTTAGAGGATGTTTTAAATGTACCCGATTTGAGAACAAATTTGATATCAGTAACAAGAATCATTTCAAAAGGATATCAAGTAATATTTGATCAGAATTCAGCATGTATAGTAGACAAAAGTGGAAAAACTAAGTTGATAGCTGAACGACGAAATGGATTGTACTACGTAAGCGAGCAAGACCAATTCACCGCAAAGGCTGAAGTCGATGTCGAATATCATGAAATGGCATCTAAGATTCGGACATCTCAACGACGGAAGTCTTCACGAACTAACACGAAAAGAGGCCGCAATCGGAGTCCAAATAGCAAATGACGAAAAATTGCAATCATGTGAAACTTGTTTAAAAGGAAAACTCACACAAACGCCGTTCAACAAAGAATCTACAAGAAACACTGAAACATTGGAAATTATACATACAGATGTATGTGACCCGATGCGCGTCGATTCAATAGGAGGATCTCGTTACTTTGCTGTCTTTATTGACGATAACACGCGCTGGTACGAGGTCAGATTTCTAAAAAAGAAATCCGAAGTTCTAAAAGCTTTTCAAGAAATTAAGCACTTAATGGAAAATCAAATCGGAAAAAGGATTAAGTGCGTATAATCCGACAATGATAAAGAATACATTAATAAAGACTTCGACAAATATTTAAAAAAATGCGGAATCAACAGAAGGCTTACCGTTCCACACATTCCTGAGCAAAATGGCGTCGCAGAAAGACGGAATCGCACATTGATTGAAATGGCCCGATGCTTGTTGATACAATCAGGACTGCCACCCTCATTTTGGGCAGAAGCTGTTTCTACCGCAAACTATCTACGAAATCGATGTCCATCAAGACCACTAAACGGAAAAACAGCATTTGAAAGATTGAGAAGCGTCCAAACGTTTGTCATCTCAGGATATTTGGAAGTAAAGTATACATTCTCGATAAAACACCTGGAAAGGGCAAATTCGAGCCTCGTTCAAGGGAAGGCATATTCATAAGATACTCACAAGAATCCAAAGCATATCGAATTTGGGTACCTGAGAAGAAAAAGGTGGAAATATCGCGAGACATAAGATTTCTGTCGGAATTTTCTGAGAACACAAAATTTGAGGAGTTTTTTAAGCAAAATACTAATGTAAACCTAAATGTACCAGAAATACCTCAACCTCGAGAAGTTAATTTCGAAGTCATTGAAGAAGTAGCTCAAGGACACAATAGAAACCCTGAAGAAGATCCAAATGTCATAGAGATGAGACAGGATAGGAATGATCAACATGAAGATAGAAATCAAGCCCAAATTCCTGAACAACGAAGAGGCCCTGGCAGGCCCCGTATCGTTCGTACCGGACAAAGAGGAAGACCACGAAAGGTTCATCATCTAATGAATATGGAATCAAACGGCGAAGATCTTGAAGAGGATACTAGAGACGTTGAAAATGGTCACGAGGACGTTGAAGAATTCTATGATGCAGAAAACGAGGCAAATTTAGCCGACATTTCTCTCAAAGAAGCATTATCAGAATCCGAAGCTACGAAATGGATGCAAGCCATCAAGGAAGAATTCAAAGCCTTAATTAAAAATAAAACTTGGAAAATAGTAGATCGCCCCTCTGGAGGAAATATTATTGGATGCAGATTCGTTTTGCGAAACAAAATGAATAAGAATGGCACCCTGAAAAGACGAAAATCGCGTTTAATTGCACGAGGATTTGCTCAGCATTATGGAATTGAGTTTACTGATACTTTTGCATCTGTAGCTCGAGAGTTCGATTAAAATCATAACTGCACTTTCCGCATCCCTGGGTCTAGAAATGCATCAATTGAATATATCTACTGCTTACTTAAATGGTGACATCGAAGACAAAATTTACATGGAATTACCAGAATTTTCAAAAGAAGTCCTAAAGCAGATTATCTCTGAGAGTGCAACGCCCGAAGAAAGTCAATTACGAGCAAAAGCTCAAGAAATGTTACGCGAAATTCTAGAAGGAGACAAGATTTGTCTTCTCAAGAAAGCCCTATATGGATTACGACAATCAGGCAATGGAATTTGCGGTTCGACAAAGAAATCCGCAAATTAGGGTTGATTCGTTTGAATGCAGATCCCTGCATTTACTTTGACAAGAAAGGCGGCTACTTGACCGTAGTAGCCATATATGTTGATGACATCATCATCGCTTTAAGGAATCAAGATCATATCTTCGAACTCAAAAGAAACCTTATGTCCACATTTGAGATGAAAGACTTGGGAAGAATCAATCAATGTCTAGGTATTGAGTTTATCGAAGGTAATGGAGAAATCACGATGTCACAGAGTCGCTATACTCAAGAAGTATTAAAACGATTTGGAATGGAGAACGCAAAACCAGTCGCGACTCCTTTTGATCCGTCAACAAAGTTATTCAAACCGATCAACGCAACGGAGATCAGTATCAATATCGAAACGCTATCAATATCAAGAGCTTATTGGATCATTAATGTATTTATCAGTCTGTACGAGGCCGGATATATCATTTGCTGTTAGCTCGTTAAGTCAATTCAATAATTGCTACGCCGAAGAACTGCTGCAAAAAGGATATTGCGTTATCTAAAGGGAAATTAACGTAGGCATCCGATTCAAAAAGGAAAATCTTGACTTGCAAGGTTTTGTCGATGCCGACTGGGGATCATGTATAGAAGATCGACGTTCATATTCTGGCTTTATCTTTACGTTAGCAAATAGGCCAATTTCTTGAGAATCCAAAAAACAACGAACCGTAGCTCTATCAACTACCGAATCCGAGTACATGGCTTTGACGGAGGCGACGAAGGAGGCTATTTACCTTTCAAGATTCCTGACTGAAATCGGAGTTCGAGGGAAGGAACCAGTGCTAATCTTCAATGACAACCAAGGCGCTCAATTGTTGGCTAAAAATCCGATATTCCACTCACGGACTAAACACATCGACATACGACACCACTTCGTTCGCGGGGCTGTAAAAAATAAACACGTCAAACTTAAATACCTGGCGACGGAAGAAATGCCCGCTAATCTACTCACAAAAGGATTATCGCGGATTAAACACGAAACTTGTTTATATTTATTAAGCATTGATTTCATTTAGCTTACTCTTTAGTTTATCAAACATTGATTTCATTTAAACTATTATTAATAAAGCGCCCAGGGCATCGATTGTCTAACTTAGGTGAGATGGTTCACTTCTCACACTTTCATCTCACAATATTCGCCCGATTTTGTAACTGTTAAGTGAAAATACGACATCACATAGATGAAAATGTGAGGAATATAGTTTTGTCTGAGTCTGTATTACTCAAATTCTTTTATTTAGACCGGTGAGTTGTACAACACATGGGTGATTGTTATTCTGGTGCTGTGTAACATATATAAATAAAAATTATGAACGTAACAGACAAGCAAAAAGAAACTCTATTAGAATTTATGAAAATACATCCAGATTTTGGCCGAGGACGAATACGATCGAAAGGAGAAAGTAAAAAACAACTAGTAAGTCCTATAAAATTTATTTTAACATACGTTACTTGGAATGTACAATAATAGAGTAAAATCATTAATTCGCCATAATTTGATTTAAATATTACTTTATTATTTTTAAGGATTAATTATGGGCACAGTTAGCTGAAAAAGTGAATTCTTCAGGTTGCGGACCGCAGAAGACATCAAAGGAGTGGGCAAAAGTAAATATTTCACAAAATTGACTATCTTAATTTTTATCATGTTTATTGAATATAGAATTGTTCAGATCAAATTTCTTAACGTTAAACTTGTATACTTATTGTTCTAGACATGGCGGGATTGGAAGAGTAATGTTTTAAAAAAAGTAGCAACCTACAAAAGTTACGCAACTTGCACTGGAGGAGGACCTCCAAAAAAATTGCAAACTAGTCGCCTAGAAGATGACTTGTTAGAATTTATGTCTCCAGATGCCAGTAGGTTAAGTGGAATACCCGAGGGAGGCTTCGGAGATAACTTCGAGCCATTGGAAAATGCATCATTGTCCTGTCTAAATACTCAGCCAGCTATAAGCTCAAGGCATGAAGTCGAAGAAATTGACTGGATGAGCAATTCACTATCCCAAGTATGCGTACTACTAAAAAGATTAATCATTATTTATATTATATCGACTAATTGCATTAATCACACAATATTCTAATGCATAGGAATCCGATAATGCTAATGAAGAAACAATGACAAGATCTTATTGCGATGTTTCAACTAAAGGATTAGAAGTGAGCGTAAGTCAAATATTTTATATTCTTTTAATTATGAGTAGCAGCACTCTTGGACTTCCGAGTGCAGCAAACCGTATATAATTTAACATTTTGTTTATTCAGGGATATCCTGCACCAAAGAAAGTGATTGTTGAGGCTGCGACAAGTCATATACAGAAGTTTCTGGGATATCCTGCACCAAAAAAAGTGATTGTTGAGGCTGCGACAAGTCATATACAGAAGCTTCAGGGATATCCTGCACCAAAGAAAGTGATTGTTGAGGCTGCAACTAGTCATATACAGAGGCAAGTTCAACAAAGCGCTACACCAGCACAATCACAAGTGCGTAATGTTTGTTGCTTGTTTTAGAAAAATTACAAAGAAACTTTGTTACATCATGTTGAATAAGTAGTTGCGATCTATACATATATCTTTTTATTATGTTAGGAAAGTCTTCCAAGAAAAAAATCCGTTTTAGGAAAAAGAGCAACAAATCAGACTATGATTTCGCTATTGGAAAAGAAAACTTCCACGTCCAAAGATTTCAAAACTAGAGCTCTGACAATAAAAGAAAAAAAATTAGAATTATGTAAAGAGGAAATAGCTCTGAGAAAACAACATCATCAAGAACTTATGAAATTCTTGGGCGAATTGAAATCTTCCATTGACGAATTTAAAAATAAGATAAACGACACCTTCGGTATTCAATATCTAGAGTAATTTCGAATAAATTATACTTATATATTCTTATATATTACATATCTATATATCTTATATATTCTTACATATTTATATAATTCTTTATATACTTATATATATATTTTTTTATATTGTTTAACCTAAACCTAAACCTAAGCTAAAACCAAAGATGTGATACTACTGTAATTTAAATAAAGTACAAATAAAGAGAGACTGATAATAAAATTGTGTTACATTTCACAAATTTTTTATACTTACTTTCCAGTTTCATTACATTTTATACAAATATATATATAAATTTATAGAGAAGGAAAGAAGGAGGAAAGGAGGTAGGAAAGGGAGGGGGAAGAAAAGGCAGGAAAGGGGAGAAGGAGAGGAGGAGAGAGGGGAACAGGTGGAAGTTCGCATTTTGGAATGTAGCGGGGATAGGAAAGAAAGATAAAGACTTTTGGAAGAGCCTAAAGGAGGGACGTAATGATACTTTTATAGACGTGGATGGATGAGAAGGGGTGGAAAAGGATAAGGGAAAGGCTCTCACAGGGATATGAATGAGGGGTGCAGTTGGCGAAAAGGAAATGCAAAAAAGGGAGAGGAATAGGGGGAATGGTGATGGGGATAAAAAAAGAGCTGTGGGAAAAGGGGTCCAGGATAGAGGTAGAGAGGGAAGGGATGATAGTAGGAAGAGTAAATACTGGGCGGGAAAAATGGAAAATAATAGGGGTATACGTGGGGGAAGGAGGAGTAGAGAGGACGTTGCAGGGAATAGAGGAATGGATTGGGGAGAGAGAGGAATAAGGAAGATAATAGGGGAAGATTTTAATGCTAGAACAGGAAGGGAAGGGGGAGGGGTAAGGGAGAAAAAAGAGGAGAAGGAAGAGATGGGAAAAAGGCGATCAAAGGACAAGAAGATAAATGGGGAGGGGAAGAAGTTAGCGGAGTATATAAAAGGAAAAGGGTGGGAAATTTTTAACAGGAGCATAAGAGGAGACGAAGAGGGAGAGTATACGTTCACAGGGGGGAGGGGAAACACAGTAATAGATTATGTAATAGGGGAGGGGGAGATAAGGGACAGATAGAGAAGATGAGAATAGGAGACAGGGTGGACTCGGATCACCATCCGGTGGAGTTATGGATGAGAAGAGGAGAGGAGAGGAGAGCGACGAGGAGGGAAAGGGGCAGGGGTAGAAGAGGAATTTGGGACGGAGAAGGGAGGAAGAGGTTTACGGAAAAAATGGGACGGATACAAATAGGAGAGAAAAAGATAGGAGAGGAATGGGATAATCTGGAGAGCAGGATAAAAGAGGCGCTGAAGGAGACGGAGGAAGAGCTGGGGAGAGCGGAAGAGAGGAGAAGAGAGTGGTTGGATGAGGAATGTGTCCAGGAAAAGAAAAGGGTAAGGAAGGAACTAAGGAAGTGGAGGAGGAGAGGGGGGGATGGAGAGAAGTACAAAAGAGAGAAGAGGGAATACGGGAGAATGTGTGAGAGGAAAAAGGAGGAAGAGAAACAAAAATGGGAAAAATAAGCGGAAGAAGCGAGAAGAGAAAAGGAAGTATGGGAGATTGTAAATAGGGAAAGGAGGAGGAAGAGGAGAGTGAATGAGAGGATAGAGATGGGGGAATGGAAGGAGCATTTTATGGGGACACTAGGGGGTGTAGAAGGGAGGGTGGTCAGAGGGGGAGAGAGGAGGGGGCAAGGAGAGGGAGAGGAGGAGGAGGACGAGTCAGACAAGGAGGAGGTTAAGAAAGCGGTGAGAGCGCTAAGAGACGGAAAGACGGCGGGGATAGACGAGGTACCAGCGGAAGTCGGGAAGTATGGGGAAGAGGATTTGGAGGAGTGGGTATGGGGATTCTGCAACAGGGTGTGGAAAGGAGAGGGTTGGCCGGAGAATTGGAAGGAGGGGGTGGTAGTGCCGATAGTCAAAAAAGGGGAGGGGAAAAAAGTGGAGGAGTATAGGGGGATCACGCTGATGCCCACGTTGTATAAGATTTATGCAACAGTACTGGCGGAGAGGTTAAGAGAGGAGATAGAGGAAAAAGGATTGATGCCTCATAATTAGACGGGTTTCAGGAAGGGAATGGGGACGATTGACAACATTTATGTATTAAATTATTTGGTAAATAAACAACTAGGAAGGAAAAAGTGAAAGATGGTGGCGGTTTTTGTAGATTTGAAGGTGGCTTTTGACTCGGTAGAGAGGGGGGTTCTGGTGGAGGCTATGAGGGAGCGGGGGATAAGGGAAGGACTAGTAGTGAGGGTGGAGGAGATATTGAGGGAAACGAGGAGCAGGGTGAGGGTAGGAGGGGAAACCGGGAATGCTTTTTGGACGGCAAGGGGGGTAAGACAGGGGTGCCCACTAAGTCCGCTGCTGTTCAACGTAGTGACGGCGGATTTGGAGGAGGAGATGGGAAAGGTGAAATGGGAAGAAGTTAGATTGGGAGAAGGGAGAGTGTACACGCTGGCTTACGCAGATGATATCGTTATGTTGGCGGAAAAGGAAAAAGAGATGGGGAGTATGTTGGAGAGGCTGGAGGGATATTTGGGGAGAAAGAGATTAAAGCTAAATGTGAAAAAGACAAAGATATTAAGGTTTAGGAAGGGGGGGAAGGATGGGGAAGAAGGTATAGAGGTGGAGAGGGAAGGTGATAGAGGAAGTAAAGGAATACAAATATCTAGGGTATACGCTAAAAAGGAACGGGAATCAAGAGGCACACGTAAGAGAGAGGGTGAAAAGAGCAGCGGCTATAATGGGACAGGTATGGGGAATAGGGAAGAGAAGGTTCGGGAGGGACTGGGGAAAAAGGCTATGGCTCTTCGACAGGTTGGTATGGACGGTGATGGGGTACGGAGCGGAGATATGGGGATGGAAGGAAAGGGAGATGATGGAGAAGCTGGAGGAGAGGTATTTGAAGTGGGTGTTGAGAGTGGACGGAAGGACATCGGGATATATGGTAAAGGAGGAGTTGAAGAGGGAAAACTTGAGGGGAAGGGCAGGGAAAAGGGCGTGGAAATTTGAGAGAAGATTGGAGGAAGGGAAGGGAAGAGTGATTTGGCGAAGAAATGCAGGTGGAAAATGCTGGAAAGAATAGGGAAAGGGAAGGCAAATTCGGAATGGGAGGGAGAGAAGAAGAAGTTCTTTGAATGGAAAGGATTGGATTTGGAAGGGATAGAGGAGAGGAGAGGAGAGGAGAGAAAAAGGGGAACTAGGATATAGAGAGATAGAAAAAAAGGACAGGAAGATACAGGAAAAAGAGAGGGAGGAGAAAATAGGGGGGTCAAGGTATAATAAATGGTATGGGAGAGTGAAAAAGGAGGGAATTCCGGGATACTGAAAAAGGGTTGGGGGGAAAGTAGATGGAGGAGAGTGGCGAGATTTAGGTTAGGAAGTGAAATGAGGAAGGGAAGGTATTGGGAGACGGAAAAGAGTAGGAGATGCAGGCTATGCGGATTGGAGGAGGAGACATGGGAACATACGTGGGGGATTTGTAGAGAATGGACGGAAGGAGGAAGGGGAGTTGGCAGGAGCAAGTGGAAAAAATATTGGGGGAAGAGGGGGAGAGGAAATGGTGGATGAGAGAGATAGAGGAGGAAAGACAGGGGAGAAGAGAGTGGGAAGGGAAGGAAAGGAGGGAAAAAGAGGGGAGAGAGGAAGAGGGAGGGGGAGAGAGAGGGGT